CAAATAATCCAATTAAAAAATGGGCAGAGGCAGAGGAGCTGAACAGACTGTTCTCTAAAGAAGAAATTCAGATGGCCAACAGACACATGAAAAGATGCTCCACATTGCTAGTCATAAGAGAAATGCAAATTAAAACCACAATGAGATATCACCTCACACCAGTAAGGATGGCTACCATCCAAAAGACAAACAACAACAAATGTTGGCAAGGTTGTGGAGAAAGGGGAACCCTCCTACACTGCTGGTGGGAATGTAAATTAGTTCAACCATGTGGAAAGCAGTATGGAGGTTCCTCAAAATGCTCAAAATAGAAATACCATTTGACCCAGGAATTCCACTTCTAGGAATTTACCCTAAGAATGCAGCAGCCCAGTTTGAAAAAGACAGATGCACACCTATGTTTATCGCAGCACTATTTACAATAGCCAAGAAATGGAAGCAACCTAAGTGTCCATCAGTAAACGAATAGATAAAGAAGATGTGGTACATATACACAATGGAATATTATTCAGTCATAAGAAGAAAACAAATCCTACTATTTGCAACAACATGGATGGAGCTAGAGGGTATTATGTTCAGTGAAATAAGCCAGGCAGAGAAAGACAAGTTCCAAATGATTTCACTCATATGTGGAGTATAAGAACAAAGAAAAACTCAAGGAACAATACAGCAGCAGACTCACAGAACCCAAGAATGGACTAACAGTTACCAAAGGAAAAGGGACTGGGGAGGATGGGTGCGAAGGGAGGGATAAGGGTGGGGAAAAAGAAAGGGGGCATTATGATTAGCATGTATAGTGTTGTTGGGGGGCACGGGGAGGGCTGTGCAACACAGAGAAGACAGGTGGTGATTATAGAGCATCTTGCTACGCTGATGGACAGTGACTGTAGTGGGGTGTGGGGGGGAGACTTGGTGAGTGGGGGAGCCTGGTAAACATAGTGTTCTTCATGTAATTGTAGATAAATGATAGGAAGAATTTTTAAAAATAAAAAAAATGATTAATTTAAAAATTTAAAAAATACCAAAAGCTCATCATGAATTTTTGAAAATTTTCATGGCTCTTTTTTTTCCTTTTAACTATTTGTATTCTACTTCCCCCATAGAATTTTTTTTCCTAATGTAACATATTTTTATGCTTTTGAAACCTTTTACTGATCACTCAAGTTATATATCTGCAACAAAGTATATGTATATAAATTAAGAATTTAAAAAATGTTAGGCTCTGTGTGTTAATTTTTTACATTCTTAATTATGCTATTAATAATAATTTATAACATGAAAATAGCACATTTTAATGTACGGAAACATAAAGGGTAAATTTTTTTTCATGTATCTTAACATTAAGGGATTTTTCTCTTCACATATTTATAGATAAATATGCCTTTTGCTAGAATGAGCTACGATGTAGCATCAGTCCCTTTCCTTATTTTATTTTTAAGGAAGCAAGCACTGAGAAATATTGTTCAAATAAATAAGAAAATGGGAATGCCAGGGGTTTTGTTATAACCATATGCAGAGGTCACTGGTCCACAAGACCACCCTCAGGTCAGTCATTAAATCTCACAGAACACACTGAAAATTGGTAATACTCACAGTTATTATTACAACAAAAGAATACAGATTAAAATTCACCAAGGGAAGAGGCACATAGGGCAGAATCCAAGAGAGTTCCATATTTAGAGGTTCCAGTTGTCCTCTCCCAGTGGAATTCTGGACAGCACTAAATCCTCCTGGCAGAAATGCATGACAACATGCAGAAAGTACCGCCAACCAGGAAAACTCACTTCAGCCTTGGAGTCCAGAGTGATTATTGGGGCTCAGTCAGAAAAATGTGGTTGACTACCTCTGTGGCTGACCTTAGTTTTCAGCCCCTCTAGAAGTCAAGCTGAACCACATGACTCAAAGCCCTCTCCATAAGTTACACTGATAGCATAGACTATCTGGCATGACCCAAGTCCCCCAGGTGAACAAAGATACTTTTATTAGGCAGGATGTTCCAAGGGCTTAGGGGTTTCCTCCCAGGAATCAAAGGCAAAGGCTAGCCCTCTCTTTGGGCAGAATCAGTCCTTTACCATGTACCATATCACTCAATTATTTGAACTCATTTCTGTAACATACCAAAAATTACATAATAACCTGTCATTAAAAATTATTTTAATAGCTGTCAATTCAGTTAATTTTGCTGAAAGCAAAGAATTGGGAAACAACTGTCTTTACAAGGGGATTTATTGCCCATTCATTAGAACACACTTAGACCAGTATTTGGAAGTGTCCCTTTAGTACCCCCCCCCAGTGGTTTTATACCCTGGAACAATGTATACTCTAGTCAAGTTCTGTGTGCATATGCCTTTTGTAAAGTGGAAGAAGGGCAGTTTTGTAATAGAGGAGATGGGAAAGGATAAGCTTCACACTTCGACTTTAGTGGTGCTCAGACAAATCAGCTTACAGTTGAACAAGGGTGATCACATCACGATATAGGAAATAACAAAAAGGGTATCAAACTTGGCTGTTCCTAAAATTCATCAGCTCTGCCCCATAACAGAAACTCTTACGGGCTCCTTCCCCCTAACCCTAGCCTGTCCCTATTGGATCTGGTCCCTCTAAGATCAAAATACCTCTCTCCTCCCTGAGTCCCAGGACTCCTAACATCTGTCTGCCCACTCTCTCAAAAGAGCCAAAAATTAGAAAACTAAGACATCAGGAGAATCATAAATCTTTGTACCGCAGGAAGACAAACCCTCTTACTTTATTCAACAGAGGAGTTCCCACTTCCCCTTCTTCCCTCTGGAGGAGTCTGATTCTCATACCCATTAGCATTTCCTCAACAAGAGTTTAAAATGCAGTTGCCAAAAAAAAAAAAATGCAGTTGCCAAAATAATTGTTTAAAAGGTTGACCTTTTTGCTTTCTGCTACATATATATAAAGGACTTAGCACAATGCCCAAAAATTAATGCTCAGTAAACTATTTTTTAAGTAGAAAAGAGGCATGATCCAACCTGTTTTAGAATGATTGCCCTGTTGGTAGGACAGTGGATTGGATGAAGAGAGACTGGCCACATGGGTAGCAATTAGGAGACCTTGACAATTGTCCAGAGGTTATGAAGATTTCAGCTTGCAGCCTGGTAAATATTGGTTCCCCACAATCTATGATGTATAGGGATCAGGATTGTTTTTGAACTTTTTATTAAAGTATAATAATGTACATACAGAAAAGTAACATGTGTTCTAAGTGCACAGTTTGTTGAATTTTCAATGCTTATGTATTTTTCAACTTCCCTATTTACCTTTTTTTTCTCCCCAGATAATTTTTATGGTGGGACGAGGCTATCTGTCTCCAGATCTCAGTAAGGTACGGAGTAACTGTCCGAAAGCCATGAAGAGATTAATGGCAGAGTGCCTAAAAAAGAAAAGAGATGAGAGACCACTCTTTCCCCAAGTAAGAAAAAGCTAAATGTTACCTAAAAGGAGGGACTGATACTCAGATGCAGATTTTAAGCACTTTTTAGAGCACACAGTTCATATTTCATTGATTTGGATTCCATGTGATTATATGCAGATGCCAGATAAGTAGACACATAAAGATGATTTCATGAAAGTTGAACAGTGGTACACCTAGAGCTTTGGGATCCCAATACAAAATACTCAGAAGGACTTTGCTTATGTCTAGCAGATCTCAAACATTTGGGTCTCAGAATACTTTTACACGCTTAAGAATTATAGAAGACCCCCAAAGAGCTTTCGTTTGTATAAGTAACAATTACCATTTTAGAAATTAAAACTAAGGTTTTTAACTATTTATAAATTTATGTAAAAATAAAGCCATTGCATGTTAAATAACATTTTTATGAATAATTCTATTTTCCCAAACAAAAAATTAGTGAAAAGAGTGGTATTGTTTTACATTTCTTGTAAGTCTGTGCAGAATGCTAGCTGGATTCTCTGCTTTGCATTCTTTATGTTGCAGTATCTTATGTCATGTAATCTCTGAAAACTCTACTTACACGTGTAAAATAGTCACTGTAAAAAAGGCAAGTAATATCTTAGTGTTATTGTGAAAATAGTTTTTCCACAGACCACACTTTGAGAACTGCTGCTTAATTCTTCTGGGTGGTAAAGTAAACAGGTTCCAAGCATCCATTTAATATTAGGTCTTTTTGAGGACCATTTCCACATGAGGCAAAAAGAAAAGGCAACTATTGGCACTGTCTGCCTTTCCCTGATTCTTGAAAATTTTCCATTGCTTTTTATCTTTACATGCTGTAATGCTGAAGCACTTAAGTTAATAATCTTTCATAGGCCTCATGAACTGGAACTACTTACCTGAACAAACTTAGAAAGCTTAGCTGTAATAGATATTGTAATAAATTTCAGTGTTTTTTATGCTTACAAAGTTCCTAATAGATACTGTAGATATGTCTCAATAAATCAATAGTTTTCAAGTAGGAAGTACTGACTCCCATAGTTGCTCAGCTACCAAATTAGGGAGTTGGTCCTTTGTGAACCTTTTATCTTTGAATACCCAGTCCTACTTGGGTTGGTTTCTTAGACAGAAGTCACTATCACAAGAATGAGTAAATCTTTTATTTCCATCTAAAGAATAAATATAGAATTTATGATTTTAACAAGTTCCCCAGGTGCTATCACAGAGTGGGGAAGGGAAGCCAAATGAATGGGTAGGTAGATACATGTTTTATGTAATGAAATTAATTTACTGTTTCTTTGAGAAATTGTTGGTTTTTTTAACCCAAAAAAATCACTGGTTTAAGATTATCAAAGTAAAAGACTAGTATTATTGGCCAATATGAGCAGAACCCTGCACCATGTTCTTTTCAATCCCAGGTGCTAGGGTTTCCTATTTAATAAGGTTGATGTGCATTAATAATTCAAATGATAATTTGATTAATAATTCAAATTCACTTTTTAAATGAATTAAACAGGACAAAATGTTTGTATTTCTAAATACAAGTAATACTTCATTCTTTGCATGGTATCAGAAAATAAAATGCACATATGAATTGTCCAAATTATTGAAGGCTTTAAAAATTTTTAATTACAGGATTTCTTTTCACACCATACACAAACATAAATTTCAAATGGCTCAAGATTTATATATAAAAACAAAGCTATAAAATACAAAATCATTTTTATAACCTTGAAGTAGGAAAGGCTTTCCTAGTAAGCAAGAGACAAAATAAAGAAATTATATAAAGGAAAAGATTAGCAGGTATGATGACATTCAAAGTTTTTAAACTTCTGTATGATAAAAATAATATTGAAAGATAAACAGAAAAATAATTATAGCATTTATAACAAAGAAATTCTCTGTTATGCAAAGGACTCCTACCAATCAATAAGTAAAAGATAATAGAAAACAAAGGTAAGAACTGATGATTCACAAAAGAAATACAAATTGTGAATGAACTTAGACAAGATGTTAAGGGTTCAATGACAATCAGTAAAATGTGGAGTAGCACAACAGTGAATACACTTTGGTTTGGCCTCTCAGATGGTTAACATGCAGCACTGGGAACAATGCTGGGAACTGAGGAATAGCCTTCCTTTTAAAATTAACAGTCTTTGTGGGAGTGTAAGTTGGTTTGGCCTTTTGAAAGGACTTAGTAGAATCCCTAAACTTATAATTCATACACCCCTTGCTCCAGTAATTTCACTCCTAAAAATATATGCTATTCAAATATATACAAGAATGTTTACTGTAACAGGAAAAACTGAAGACATAAGGATCAGGTAGCTCTGTAGATGGTATGGATATCGGTGAGTGAAAAAGAAAGCAGTGCAAAAAAATATGTATAGTATGATACCACTTTAAATGGTGGTGAGGGCGGAGATGGGCTCTGTTTTCATATGTGCATGTTTATGCATAGGAAAGGTCCAGAAGAAAGTATAGACTCTTTAACAGTGGTTACCCCTGGAAGGTAGGATTTATACTTTTTCTGTATTATTTGAATTTTTATTTGTGTGTGATGCTTGTAATTTTTAAATTTCTGTAAAATGGCTTATTTCTTTGCCTTCTTTTACTAATCATTATGTAGATTACAGTTTAACTTTCAAAAAAGTTTTGGTGGCTCAGAAAATAATAATAATAATAATAATAACAGCTGCTTAAGTTTTATTGAATACTTACTATATTCCAGGCATTATGCCAAGCCTTTTACATGTATGTCTCACAATTATGAACATGCATTATCATACTGTATGCCTTCAAGAGTCATCACCTGTTTCTTTATACCTTAAAATATGCTGAATTTCTACGTTTTGTGTATCGGTATCTATTTGTAGTTTTCCTGTCTTCTCCTTCACTTTTGGGTTGCCACCTCTCACTACTCACTCCTGTGCCAATAGGAGTCTGGGTCATTGGAGGCCTACCTTTAATTATGTGTGTGACAGACATTTCCCATTACTAAGTTTCTTTAAAGAATGAGTTGCTCTGATGGTCCTGTTTATGAAGTCATATAGTGCTTTACTTAATTATGCTCCATCTTCTTAAAAGAGACTGTGGCCTATAAGAAACAGGTATAGAATTGGTTTAAAATTTTTAATTATTTACTGTTCCAAGGCTGGCAAATGAGCTAAAATGTGAATAAAATCTAACTATTCCCATACAGTTTAGATATTAAAGCTATAGTAGTTTGGTAATTCTCTTTTCTCTTTAAGGAAAAGTATCAGTTTCTTCAGTAGTTTTCCAGGCATTCAGGATAATACTGAAAACAATGTAAGATTTCAGTACTTTCTTGTAAAGTATGATGGGGTTCTTAGAGATTAATACCACCTAGATTTTCATTCTTTCCTCTTTTTCTTTTTGCTTCTTTTAGATTCTCGCCTCTATTGAGCTGCTGGCCCGCTCATTGCCAAAAATTCACCGCAGTGCATCAGAACCGTCCTTGAATCGGGCTGGCTTCCAAACAGAGGATTTTAGTCTATATGCTTGTGCTTCTCCAAAAACACCCATCCAGGCAGGGGGATATGGTGCGTTTCCTATCCACTGAAACAAATAAGTGAGAGAGTACAGTAGGGTAGGAACAAAGGAAAATGAATATTTGTTTGGTTACATGTTTGCTAAATTGAATAGGATATTCTTTTTTTAAAAGGGGAACCAGAGAATATGTATGTTTTTAAAGACTGGATATAATTTTTTATATCCAGTCTTTAAATACATACATATTGAACCTAAAATTCATACTTAGCAATGGATTTTCAATATCCAAGGGTTTTTAAAATGCATAGGCATTGCTGAAAGTTGGTGGTGCCTCTTCCAGAGGCTTTATTTCCTCTTCCAAATTTGTTTTATTTACTTGGTTATTCTAATTATTAAGCTTTAGCTAAACTTTCCTTTTGTTGTTATCTATCACATGGCTCTTAGGGACTCATGAGTATAACACTACTCCTGTGCCTTTGTGTAGAGGTGGGAAGTTGATGGTGGGTAGCCTGTATTAGATAAGGCAAATGAACAGATCTAATTTAGGGAGTTCTAGAATTTAATTTTTCATATTTTTTCTATAATTATTTATCTTTATTACAACTTAGAAAATATGGATGTTCTTTACTCCCTCAAAGTAATAGACAAAATTTCTTTTTATGAATTGTGGGTGTAGATAATCAAAGATATTGCTGAGAAATGGCATGTTTGACATGAGTGACATGGTTTAACTTTGGCATTTTAGTGGGGAAACGTTATACATTGGAGTTCCTTTTAGATAATATATATATTCAGGATATCTTACACAAATAGAAGCCGAATTTCCATACAAATGCATTGTCTCCTCCTCCCCAAAAAAAGCTTCACAGAATTCCATGAGAACTTTCGGGTTTCTTTTTCTTCTAGATATATTTGGTTGCCAAACAACCAGGTTATGGATTTTTAAAAAATTATTATTAGTTCAGATTATACTTACCTCTTGTGGTACCTGTTTTAGCAGACCTCTTATCCATGTGTCTCATAAAATTTCCTTGCTCCTTATATATTTTGCCCAGCAAGATTTTACTTTTTCCGAATGAATGCTGTTCTCTTTCTTTATTCCACCATTTTCTAATGCTTACACTCTATTTTGTTAAACATGACTGTAATGTGGCAGTGTATTCTTAATGTGAACCAAAATCTTACAGGAAAATCCAAAGTGAAAGATGTAGCGTTGCTGTTATCTTACCAATGAAATTGCCATTTCTGCTTCAGAGTGAGCCTAGGCCCGAAAGCCAGCCTTTTAAAGACATCTCCATTTACTCAGTTTGAATTTGTGATAATTTTAAAATGTAGATGACAGCTGGGTCATTCAGGTACAAAGACAACATCTGCATAAATGCCATCCTTCTTTGAAGCCAGTGAAATGCTCAAAGGTTTGGGCATTTTGAGGCTCAAGAGTCAAAGAATCTTTTTATTGGTAGAGCTCTTTCAATAATTCTCCAGTATACTTGCTTCATTTTTGTCTTCCTTTCTTTGTTCACTCTTTTCCCGTGCCAACACTGCCCACACTAACCACTGCCCCATCCCCCGGCATCTGCATTTGACCCCTTTTCCTTTCTTTCTTGGCCACTCTGCTTTTCCAGAGGGCATTGCTCTTAGAACTGCTCAGAAACTCATTATGCCACCCTATAGACATTCGAACATGCATCAAAGGCTCATGTAGTAATTAATTCTCTTCTATTCAAATTGGTCCCCCTGGAAATGTCAATGGAAGAAAATTTAAAATGTGGCAGACGGAATGTTTAGATAACATGGATTCTGAGAAGTAGAAACTAACATTAGAATGAAATATGTCAGTTCCCTTTCTGTTGTTTTCGTTTGTTTTATACTCAGTCTTAGATATATTCCCTAAATAAATAAAAACGTTATTTTCCTAACCACATGTAGAATAATCTCCTTGACCAGGTAACTGAAACAGGACATTCATTCTCTTGTGGCTGACTCCTTCTTTCCTAAACCTTTTCATTAAAGTTGACTTCCTTAAAAAAAGAGGCAACCTTTTTATAAAATTTCTTTCACATTTTAAAAGTTTTACTAGTCAGGAATAAGATGTGTCTTCTTGATTAGGGATCACAGCATTTAATCAAGTGCTTCAGATTTATTTTCAGATATAAGAGTGTTCTCTTAGCCATTTTAAATACTTAACTAGTAGTTAAAATTATCCTTCCTAAATTAGTGACTATTTAACACATTGGCTTAATGGCCATTCTCTCAAGTGTGTCACTCCCAATTTCAGGAATGCCCCCTTTTTCTTACATATTATGAAATGGGTACTTCGTGACTAAAACATTCAGAATTATTGAGCATTTCTATAGCACTTTTTATTTCACTAACTATTTCATCTCTCCTCTGATCATTTCTCTTAAGAATTTAAGAAGTCCCATGTGTCTGTGCTAAAATGTTCCTCATCCTTTTGAAACTTCCTGAAAGTCACCACACAGAAAGAATGGGACTTACTGTGGTTTCAAAAGACTACCCCCTACATCCAAAGCAGTGATTGATTTGTATACAAAATAACATACTAGATTTTTCATAGCGTACTTTGTCTTTAAGGAATTTTAATCAAACTATATGTATAATAGCTGCTGAAATGCATTGAATTCTGGAATAAAGGGTAATTACTTAGTAATATTTTTAAACGAGTTAATAAAGTCCTTAGTTTTCAAATAAACAAACCGTCATATTTGGGGTGTCTCAAATCATAGGCTCTTCCCAAGTGTTCCTCTGACCTATTCCTAAATTAAGCCAAATGGAAAATAGAACTTAGGTTATTCTCAAGAAGAAGGGAGGTTTTAGAAAAATGGTTCATTTTGGCCTCTGATTTTTCAGCTAATAATCAATATACCAAGATTCTCGAAGAGCCACACAGTATCTCAGTATTTCACTTCAAATAACTTCACACAAGCAGAGTTGGGTCTTCCCTCATAAAACAGGGTAGGCGGTAGGATAACAGATTTCCAGATAACGCAGGAAGGAATAAGCAAGAAAAGATTTTCTTTTCTCCAAAAGCAGATCCATCAACTGTTAGTCCCTTCTTTTCCTTAAATTTCTCCATGATTTCAGGGTCATATATGGGAATAATTTTATTTTATTGTTCCCTAACTATATAAGTTCTTTTTGTCTTTTTTTTTGCCCCTTGGTCCTGAAATCTGATTATGGAAAGAAGTGCATTTCATTAGAAGCAGTAGACTCTGGTGGGATAATCATTATTAGTATTTGCTTTATTGGTATTGGAGTTTGTTGGTAAGATTTTTTGCTTTGGGAATTGTTCTGTGTGTTTTTATTTTTAAGGCTAATAAAAATTTAAGCTTACATAGAGTAGGACACTGTTCAACAAAATGGAGTGTCTAATTTTAATGATGTCTAGGAAACATCTGAAGATTTTTTAAGTTATTTTTTAATGTGGTATGTAAGATTTGGCTTACAGTTTATCATTTTCTAATGTTCTCTCTATAGATTTTTAATAAGATTTTTTATAAAGATTTCTGTTAAGTAAATCCTGTTTTCATATTGGTTTCCTTTAATGAGATTTAGATTCTGCTAGATTAGGTGACTACTCATAAGAATGTCAAAAATGACTCTAAAGAAATGTATTAAAATGCTGAGAAAAAATAACCTTAAAGTCATAATGTACACAAACCATACCAAAAGTATTGAAAACGTTTATATATTCCTAGAGTCTTTGTTAACATAATAGCCTCTTATGGCTATGCTCTAAATATTTAACTCTCCAGGTCTTAGTAATTTTGCTATTTTTTTTTTCATAAGTAGCCAAATTCTCCCAGTCAAAATACCTTGGTGAATTGCTTTTTAAGTTAAGTGAAAAGAGATGGTATCACTTTCTGCAGTCTAATTATGTTATATTCAGAATGGGAAAGAAAATTGTTAATTATTGAAAATTATTTAGGGGTTAATTGTTGAGACCCTGGACTTGGGAGTTAGCACCTGGCCTTGCATTCTAACTCTGCCATTTTATAGCTGTGAAATGTTGGGCAAGTTACATAACCACACTAAACCCCTGCTTGCTTTTCTGTAAAATAAAGAGAAGCAGTAGCTCCTGCCTCATAGAGTTATTGGGATAGATGCAAATGTGTATAAAGTATTCCTGAGGCCCTGGTATAAAACAGGCACTCAAATAATCGCTAATATTATCAGCATGTAATCTGAGGGCTCAGTCGGCCAGTCATTAGCAATTTGTTTGTTGGGATGTGCCAGTATTCTCTAGTAACAAGCAGAATCTAATAACAATCAGAAAATGGTTAGGTTATTTCTATATTAAATAATATGTTCATATAAGTGATTGCTTGGATCCTGATCAGAAGCTGCTATTATTGAAAAGTGATGTTAAGGCTGACTAAATTCTGATAGTTGTCAGTTATTAGCTAACCCCCAGAAATTAACTATAGTATTTCTGGGGAACTGCCCTCTCGTTACAAGTAGAAGCAGTGGACAAAGTAGTAGGTAAAAAATGGCATCATGCTCCCAAATTCAGTAACTAAAGGAGTATAGTACTTCAAAGAGACTTTGTGGTTTAAAGAATTCCTTATGCTGAGAATAATGATCAGTGACTTGTGCCTATATATAATTTTTTGGTAGTTTAAAAGTGAAATGAACCAGAAAACAGAGTCTAGATTTTTTTTCCTTCTGTCAGATGTGTAATGTGAACAAGTCATTTGGCCTCTTTATTGTTATCTTTTGGAAAATGAGGATAATTCCTGCTTCTTCCTTCCTAGTAGTGGCATTATAACAATGAAAATTGAGTTGATAATTGAGGAGTAAGTATTCTACAAATTAATTGTATTATTTTAAAATCAGTTTCTGAGAAATTTTGTTCATTACAACTGTTTTCAGTTTAATTAGAACTCTAGTATATAAAACCCAATTGGGATATTACCTACAGATTTGACATTAAATTGGTATAACTGGACCATATTCTAAATACTATATGTTATCTTCTTTCATGAGTTCCAGGGACTTTTGCTTTTAAATTAATGATGATGTTGCTAGATTTGTGATATTTAGCTGGTCACCTTTCAGCAAGGTTTCAATTAGGCTTTTCTGTGTCTTTAGGTCGAGATAACTTTTTTAAAATTAGCTCTTGTCCTCCCTCTACAGGAGAATTTGCAGCCTTCAAGTAGCCACACCATCATGGCAACATCTACTCTAATTTCTTAAGTCTTGTGTTCATACAATTTGTTAAAATCAAAACACAGTTCTGTTCCTCAAAAAAAATTTTTAAAGATACAAAAGTTTCAATGCATAAGCTGATGTGGAACAGAATGGAATTTCCCATCCAACAAACGAGGGAAGAATGTTTTAGGAACCAGAATTCTCTGCTGCCAGTGTTTCTTCTTCAACACAAATACCACGTGCATACAGTCTGCTTACTCCCGGGAAGACAGAGGAGAGACCCTGAGTTCTGACCTTTTGATGGTCAGGCATGATGGAAAGAAACTGCTGCTACAGCTTGGGAGATTTGCTATGGAAAGTCTGCCAGTCAACTTTGCCCTTCTAACCACCAGATCAGTATGTGGCTGATCATCTGATGGGGCAGTTGCAATTACCAAGCATCATTCTCTTTCCTGTTCTGGGATTTGTTGTGGAGCTTTCCCCTAGCCACCGCCGGTCAGTTTCTGAGGGAAGGAACAAAAATGCAGCATGCCCTTTCTGTGTGGTGCATGTTCAGTTTTTGACAGATTTTTATCAAAATGAAGCTATTTTATTTCAATGGAAGTTGAGTTGTGAGGAGAAGATAGGTTTTGGTGTAGAGGACAAGGGGATGCTGCATCTTTCTCCCGACCTCCTGGGTCTCTGGCCTTCTGCCCCCTGGCTCCCTGAGGGTGTCCTCACGACCGCGCGGGCTGGAGAGCGCTGGCACACGCGGCCTTCTCTTCCCCCTGGGTCCAGCAATCAAGATGAGTGTTCGGGGATTTTCTTTTCCTCCACAGTATAGCAAGTTCTCAGGAAAATACAGTTGCTATCTTCCTCCTAAGCTCTTCCAGTCAACCAAGTACTTATGTGGCTACTTTGTCCAGGCACAGAATGCCATGGTGGTATCTGATTAAAAGCCTGCAAAACTGCTTGATAACAGTTTTGAATGTGAGACATTTATGTAATTTAAATGTAAGGTACAAGTTTTAATTTCTGAGTTTCTTCTCTTATATTTTTATTAAAAAGAAAATAATTTTCAGATTGAATTGAATTGGAATAAAATAATACTTCCCACCAGAATTATATATCCTGGAAAATTGTATTTTTGTTATATAAATAGCTTTTAAAGAAAGATCATTATCCTTTTCTCTACCTAAATACAGGAATCTTAGCATAATGACAAATATTTATAATTTTTAAATTAATGGTACTTGCTGGATCCACACTAACATCTTTGCTAATATCTCATTGTTTCTTCCAACTTACTCCAACACTACGTCCTACATCCTCTTTTTAGTCTTTCATCTAGAATATGCAATCTAAAATAAAAATGGTGGCATCTCCATTGATTCTCCTTCTTCCTTTTTTCCCAAGCCTGGTCTTCAAAAGGTTGGGTACTCTGGCCGCTGAGTTCCCCAGGCAGAGAACAGAGCAATTTTCAGTGTATTGGGACTGAGGGAGGATGTGTGAAGCCCAGCATCATTTTTTATAGAAGGAACTGCTGTGGTATTAAGAACCTCATTCTTTATCTTTGCATAAATGGAAAGTACAACCTAGTCATAGCTGCTTCGGCCTTTACTGAGGGGCGGTATAGATCACAGTTGTGGCAAAGAAAGTGACTCTGGATATATTAATGTCAAATTACTGACAAATACCTCCCTTATCAGGAGTCTAGAATCTCTTCTCAGGATTTAGGAATGTAAATCAAATCAAATGTACATAGCCCAACCAAACTATGTAGCCTAGGACCTGAAAAAAAATTAGGACCCATACAATGTGTTGGATAATTAGAAATTGTTATTCAAAAATTTTAAACTGTAACTCTCCCTATTTCTCAGCCTACTAAAGCTTACTGCCATTAGATTTTTGCTGATGCAACTGTATTCAGAGGAAAGCCTACTGAAAATTCCATGGACTTGTAAAATGTTGTCCCAGTAAAATGGGAAGTATCCTGAAGTTGATAGTGAGTTTAAATCAGTGTGTTCTTAAATCTTATGTGAACAGAGCAGTACCTTGACACAGTTCACAATTTGCAAAGATGGAGATGATTGGTGCTGATGAGATTATGCCTCTCTCTTAAAAGCATTGTTTGTTTTTTTACATGTCCCCATAGATGCTTTTAAACATTGTTGTATTCCCTTTACCAAGGTTGGAGAGAGCTGTTGCATGAACAGTAGGCGTGTTGCACTGAGCAAGTAGAGTCTCCACAGGAGCCAGCACAGGAACTAGGTATGGAGGAAGCTTAGCATTGGAATTTCCACAACAAAATTCAAGGTGATGTGCTTTTTTCTTCCCTTTGTTTTTAGCATAAGTTGCTTATCTCATTTGGAAAAGGGATCAGACTTGATCTCAAATGAAGCTGTGCCCAGAAGCCAGGCTCAGGGTATTCTTGAGAGATTGTTAGCATCCTTAAAAAATAAAAATTTAGTATTTCCATTTTGTTCCTTTTGTCCATCAAATAATTTTTTTCTCTAGTTTGCAAATGACAGGAAAAAGGGGTTTCCTCTGAGTTTTACTTGCTTTATTTTTTGATGCTTAGACTACAGGTAGACTTGTTGAGCTCCTAATACAAGGAAGACCTCCTTGTTTGTGCAAAGCACTTTAAGAGTAATCTGTATAGATAGTTTGTGGCTGCTTCACTGTTTATCTCATAGAGCTGTAAGTATCTGTCTTTTCTGTAAAGTGGCTGCAGTGCCTTTTGTAGTAGTGTATTTTATTTTGAGTGAGGAGAGGTGAAGCTGCCTGAAAATTTTGAGAACAACCTTAAAAGATTGTTTTAAAGTATGTAGTATTCCTGATGGACTTTTTCATCATTAAACTAGAGTCTATGGTCTAGATTTTTGCCACTGAAATAATACCAAAAAGTAGTTTATAAAAGGGATTTATGAATAGAAAATCCAATGTGGTCATTTGTATTTATGTGTACCTTAAAAGAAGATTCAGCCTAGCTGTTAAATTCTGGTTCCTGAACATCCAGTCCCTGATTATATTTGAGATCTTGTATGACATATTGGGGCATCCTAGAGGATAAAATCCCATGTAAAGTATATATGTTACATTTGTGTTGATGTTGGAGAGAAAAGAGCATTATATAGTTACAGTTCAAGACTTCAACACTGTCAACCTGAAACTTTGTAAATATTTCCTAGCTTCTTGTTGGGTGCAGTCACTGCTCTTTTATCACACAATGTTACCTTTTATTCATCAGGCAGTGTTCCAACTGCTGCATGCCCTCCTCAGATCTCACCTGCCCCTCCTGTACATTCACCTCTCCAGCCTCCTGCAAACCTCATCTAGCTTTAGTTTGAAACACATTGCAGGGTTCAGGTGACCTCTTCAAAAAAACTACCTCCTCAGAATGAGGTAATGAATTGTTATTTAATTTAAAATATTAAAAGTCAGGAGCTCTAGAACATGAAGACAATTTGAGATTTTAATTTTTATGTGTACTTGTTTCTTGAGCACTCTCAAGAAATATGTTTAAGCAGTAATACTGAAAAACGTAGCTCAGAGTATCTGAATGTTGTTGAAAGTGGTGCCAGAATCTGTCTAGAGGTATGTTTCAGACTGGTAATCTTAAATCAGTTGCATGAAATTAAATAGTTATGGTAACAATTCACTAACAGTGATATAACCTTAATTTTCAGTAGGCTTGGCAAGACATACATCTTCATAATGAGTTAGCCACAGCTTTGTCCATGCACAGGTAATTCCTATAAGAGAAACTGCCCAGCTAAGAGGGTGGAATGATTACCCATTTTGCAAGATTCTCTTTGTCCAAGTTGGCATTGTTAGTGCTAGAATATCAGCACCTTGAGACTAGCAGATTCCAACCATTAGGATATTTAAAACAAAACAAAAACATAGCCAGACATGGAAAGTTTTACTGTATGAACAGCAGATAGCTTACCGGTCATACGTTGAGGCTCTAGAAAAATACCTTGATGATTTGCCAAATGAACTTACTGTGCCTTCGTGATGCAATAAAAAAGCTAAAATTTTAGCAGAAATCTGATTTGTGAAGAGAGCAGCCATTCTGGTCTAACTCAGCTGTGTTAATGTTTTTTAGAGTGCAATTTAGACTGCAAAGATAAATGCACTGAAGAGTTTATAGCCAAAATCACATTTAAAAAATGAGAAAACAGGTAAATTTTCAGTGAAAAAAATTATTTTTTTAAAGCACATAATCCCTAGTATAATCAGATGTATTTATCACATAGGCAACTAGGTTGAAATTATAGTTCAGTGACATTTCTAGAGAAACTTTTTGTACTCCCATAGGTTCTTCAAAGCTTGGAACTTTTATATAACACAACTGTTTGACAGACATCTAAAGAAGTTGCTGTGGGTTAGGCTTGAAGTACTGTATGCTGGGCAACAGTTATGCATTGACTAGTGGGGAGGGGCATTAACATGCAGGACAGAATTTGACTGTATCAGTTTCCCGCATCTGCTGCCAACCTAGACACTGATTTTTCAAAGTTTGAAATGTAAGCTTGCCTCCCAGACCTTGTTTGCCAATTAACTGGGAATGTCCTGCTCTTCAGACTGCGGAGGGGGCTTTGGGATAGTTAATGAGCTGGCAGTGGGCGTGAACTGACACACTCCATGGTGTGTTTCTTGTATCTTGTTTCATTCCTCGCCACCCCGAGAAAGGCAATATACTGTCCTAAGTGAGTTCTCTGGCCATCTGACTGAGGTGCATTGCTACCGGCAGAGGTTGTTGAGCACATCAGGAGTGTAGTAGCGTCTGCCCAGTTTGTATATTGGCCAGAGGAGAATGAAATGGCTAGTGGCTCATGTTCCATGTTGCTAGCTCTGGTGAAACAGAAAATACTGGTAAGATTTTTGTTTTACCAGTACACTAAAGAGCAAACTTAGTCTTATTGTTTCCATATAGCTTACTTTCATTCTGCTTGAACAAAGACATTGAAATTGAAATTCAGTCCTAAATTTTGCCAGTCATGGAAAGGGTAATTAACATTTTCTACCACGTTTTTAAAGGTATAAGAGGACAGAAACTTAAGACCTAAAATCTTAAATTAAGGCAACAGTGCTTTATTCTAAAACATATAGGGACCATTAGTCCCCACCTCAAAAAAGTGATTAAGTAGATCTTGCATTTCAACATCTACAACTTCAATTCTTGATTTTTAAAAATATTTTTAAAATTCTTCTTAACCTTTTGGCTCCCTTTACCCAAGTATTAGTCTTATTAATTACTACATCAGTTTAATTAAAATGTTTAATTTTATTAGTTGTTTTGACTACTAATGACAATAAATAATATAACCAGTTGTGCGTGAAGATACAGCCATTGTATCCATTTGGGGGGGGTTAAGTTTTTTTTTTAAGAATTCTATAGATTGACTACTTCAATCTACAGTTGAAAACAACTGAAATATGTTTACTCATGTTAGTATAAAAAAAAATTGTGGAGACCGTCTGCTTCTAGCACGTTGCCCAGCACCCATGAGCCAGATGATTCTCATCCCCGAGTCTGTGTGGGGAATCAGGTGGGATCCACTGAAGAGATGTGGCAGAGGCAGGGTTCTGTTTACAGGGATGGAGATGGGGGTTATGAGTAAGATGCTTAATACCGGTTTTGTTTTGAAAATTATTTTGTGTTGCATTTGTGTGTTAAGCCTTTTTTAGCCCACATGTGTTTTGGTGAGTAGAACTTCAGGCTAGCGTAAGCAACAAAGCTCATGGACTAGGCATAACTTTTTTTTAAATGGACCAAAATGGGAAGGGAGGGTGGTGTGCAAGCCTGGGGGTAGGTAAAAATTGATAGGGTGGTGGGAAATAATTATGCTTATCTGAAATAAAATATAAGTGCAATAAGTGTGCTTTTTAGTCGAAGCTGTGAACAGTTTTTAAAAAAATCATTCCTTCCCAATACATTTGTGTATGTTCCTTAGCTGATTAAAACCAGCTATGTAAACATATGCCTTTTTATTCGTGTTCTCTTTGTCTTATTTATCTTCATTTTATTAGTTTACACACAGGGGTGTGTGTGTATGCTGTACTCTTGTCCCTCCTTCATTTGAAAATGCATTCATTGGGCCCTGTTTTCTTTGGCCATAATACAAGTCTTAGTTTGGCCTTCATATCACCCGATTTGAAGAACTCTGTCAGTGTGACATATTTTTCTGGTAATTGCATTTGTTGGTTGTACGCTGACCCTTTCCTCACTCAGCACTTTCTTTCTCCTGAAACAGGAGCATACAACTGATCAGGGGATTGAATTTGTTCATTGACTTACATCCCTTTGGATTCTGTTCAGTAGTTAGGATTGCTGTTTGGTTTAGACCAAGAAAGAAAAAGGAAATTACCCTACCCCACTTTTCACTTCTTGGTTTGAGGACAATTCTTCTGTAAGGGAGAGGAAAGGGAAATCCTTCATGTTTTAACTGCAGTGAATTAATGGCTCCTGGTTTACCACTCCAAACCTTATGGCAATTCACATATACATTCCTCTCTTGCTGCCAAAGGTTCAAGGTAGTTCATTTCAGTTCCACTCAAGCATTGAAAAGGTTCTCATGGAGTCTGGGGTGTGCCCAGTGAAAAGGTGGGGACTTTGTAACTGTCCACAGACCTCTCTATACCTGCTTTGCAAAAATTACAATGGAGTAACTATTTTTAAAGCTTATTTTTCAATTAATATAAAAAGACATTTATTTTCACTCAAATGGATGTTGTTGTCTCCCTGTTGTCCCTTAATCCCGTGTCTGCTTGAATCTTGTTTTGTTTTTTATTCTTCCCCACTTCTTGATACTTTCTCTTTCCTGCTCAGGTCCCTTCATTTGTACTTTGGAGTTTTTCCCATGTAAATTTGTACAATGGAAAATATTGTTCAGTTTGGATAGAAAGCATGGAAATTAAATAAAAAGATAGCTAAAATTCAGATTGAAGAAATTTATTTCTGTGTAAAGTTATTTAAAAACTGTATTATATATAAAAGGCGAAAAAGTTCTATGTATTTGATGTGAATATGCAAATACTGCTATAATAAAGATTGACTGCATGGAGAAGACTTTATCAAAATTATTTTCCTAGCACTTTTACATTCCATCACAGAAATAGGCAGGGGTAGGCAGTATTTTGACGGTCGGTTCTTTAGGTACCAGAGGGACTAAGAATTGTACATTTTGTTTCATACATAATGTAAGTTACTGCTTGGTGGGTATTAGTTAGTTCTTATGTGAGAACTATTTTTAAAGTAAGCTGTCCTGAATGCCTGGTACATTGTACTGGCCGCACTGTTATAGTCTTTTGTCCGGAGTTCATGACCCTCAAGTATTTTATGGGGTGAGACTTGGCTGTGCCCCTCTAGTGGCTTGGTTGAGTGGGTGCAGCGAGTCATTCAAAGAGTTTGGGTGAAAAAGTTCTTAGAACTGTACCTTTTAAGTTTTTTGACACAACTTTCAGTAACACATTTTCTGTTGGAACACAGAATGTACACACAAACATATATTTGAAACTACATATCATGTTTTATACTTCATTTTTCTTAATGCTGGCTACCCCAATGAGATGATTTTGTGCACCTGATTATGACCTGAAGTTTGAAAGACACCTAGACTATCTTCAAATTGTGTCAAATTACAGGGCAAAGTTTCTAAGAGATACAATTTCAAAACTTCACCTGGAAACCTTGTGTGTGAGAACAGTATGAAGGAACAGAAAAGGCTTCAAGATGACACACATTTTGTTTCTGGAATCATGTTTCTGGACTACATGCCCCTCCAACTAATCATAAAATGCTGTCCAGACAAGTATCTTCTCTGAACTGAAGTTGTTTTCCTTGTAAAATAAAATTCTGTAATATAAATATTATAGAAACTCATTTTTAAATAACTTCCATACATGATTGCAATAGAGTAACTGTGGCCTTATATTTTAAGAATGTATTATTCTGTTAGAGGTTTTCCTTAAAATTTAGCCCAGAATTAAGAATGCTTTAATTACTGCGATAACATTCTATTTTAAAGAACCCAGCACACTGGCTCTTAAATGTTACCAGGGGCTGTGATGAGTGGACTTGTCCAGGTTATATAGGACTCCTAGACTCATAAAATGACAGAACAGAGTTCTAAAGATAATCCCCTCATACCAGTAACTGTATGAGTCCCCAAGGTTGACTTAACCTAGGCCCATGCAGGCAGGACTCAAAGTCAGGACTTTGTTTCAAGGTCAGTACTATGCATTTATGTTACATATAAATTTGTTGTGGTTGTGATGGCTATGATGAGATTGGGTTAGAAATGGGTGTTGACTCTATGATGGTGAGTTTGTAGCTAGAAATAATGCACCAGGCATACTTGCCCTGCTGGCTTCACCAGTCAGGCGAGCCACTGCTCATGTAGATGCCCAAAGGCAGAGGCCCAACTGCTGAGGCAGGTTGGCACCAGCTCAGCACCCATGTCTTCACTGCACACAACTGTCCCGTGGACACTCCCGATGAGGTGGTGGCGGCAGGAACCAGGTCAGCCTCTTCTACACAACAGTCCTTGGGGCAAGTAGAACCAAGATAACTTCTGAACCTTCCTGAAATGTGCAAACACAGGCGTTCCGCAGCCAGTACCTTCCTTGTCTCACAACTTTTTTAGATAAACAATTGGGTTTTTACACTCAGGGTTCCATAGGAAACAAGTTACAAATTTATGTGTTAAAATTTGATGCTTGATCTCTGTTGCCATCAGTAGTTCTTTCACCATCTACATTCCCATTTTGAAAATACACCTCTCCCATCTACCAGGCCATACCCTAAAGCTCAACTTTGAATGTACTTGTTGATTGTACTTGCAGGTACTCGTCAGGAAGGGAGAGACATCCTACATGTCTGACTTGTTTTAGACAGACAGGGATGGCGCTGCAACTGCTGGAAGGTCTGTTTATAAGCTTAGTCTACCTCCATATGGAGGCTTTTTTATAAAAGTCAACTGGGATTCCAGGGTCACTGTTAGCTTAGCTTAGACCCAATGGTCTAGAAATAACAACTGCTTCCATTTACAGTGTTTCCTTCATGTCAAACACAATTCTAAGGGCTTTATATGGTAACTCATTTAATCTATTTAGTTCATTTTCCAAATGAGGAAATTGAGGCACAGGTAAGTATCTGCCTAAACTCACTGCAAGTTTTAGAGCTATGAGTCAGATCCAGCCAGTTTGATTCCAGAACCCGAGTTCTTGAAGCACTGTGCCAGTTTTTCAAAGTAAAAGCAGTCTCAACCATTTTTTTATGTAGAATAGAAAAAAAAAATACCAGTGTGCACCACAGGTAAGTACTGCTTTATGAACTTTTAGATTATATATGTGTGTGTGTGTGTGTGTATAGGAGCATATTTATATTTAAGTTACAACATGAAATGATTTCTTAGAGGTCATAATCAGAAAGGCTTGGCACCATGCTGTGTTGACTCTCAAATCTGACTTGACCTAGAGCCAGCCAGCCAGGATTTCAACCTCAGCTGTCTAAAGAACCGTAAGCTTGGGCAAATTACCTAATGTATCAGCAGGTCAACTTTCTCATCTCTAAAAAGAATAATATGAGGACTTTACAAATTAATACAGATAAAGTGTTACTACAACAGTGCCTGGCCCATAGTTAAATTGTAGACTTTTGCACTTAATTATAGCCATCAATCAAATGTACTTAATGTCTCTTTGGGACCCTTTCTCACTAAAGTACCTTCCCATAAAACTGTAATAATAGGGTGGAGGCCCATTCCTCCAAGAAAAGGCAAGGAACAATTTCTGCCACAGCTCAAATTGGCTTTACAGCCTTAGTATAGAAGAGGATCCAGTATGTGGACGCCACATTGGCTGAGTTTAGAAGGCTGCTGTTTATAAAGTTATCTTTCAGTTCCAGTCAAACAACTGATTTCTAAGGAAAAGAACTAATGGGATCATCCTACCTGAGTTCATTGTTACAGACTGCATTCTTTCCCCCAAAAAACTTTCTATATGGGGGGAGAAGGGGACAAAAATGAAACCTAAAAAGTAGAGATCTGATGTATTTATCAGCTGAGACAGCTCCCCTCTTACACAGCAGTTCCACCTCCTTGTTTTTGCTGCCGTGATGCCCACTCTGACAACTGAGAACAAAGTAGGAGTGGAAACCTAAGGATGAGAAACTTGGATCAGATCACCTGTGTGTGCAGCCAGCCAAAGGCTCTTCGCTGCATTTAACATAACACCTAAACCTGCAACCACGGCCTACCCCACCTAGTCCCACCCGCTCCTCTGCTAGAATGACGCTGCACTGACTGCAACACGGTGACCTTGGTCCCGCCAGAGACCATGATTCTTGCTGTTCCTTGTTCCCGGAGCACTCCACCCTTGCATGACTGATTCCTTCTCGTTCAGGGTTCAGCTCAAATGTCCTCCCTCCCCACCCACCTCTAGCAATATTTTCTTCATTGCACTTAGTAAATCTCAACTATGTACTTGTCTGTCTTGCCTTCCTAAAATCTAAGTTCTCTGAGAACAGAATCTTACCGGTGTTCTTGACACTGTATTCCCAACATCTATGTGGTCAAAATCAGAAATTAGAAATATGAAGTTATGCTGGACAATTTATTAAGCTACTCTATATTGCAGATTTTATCTGTAGGACAGAGGAAAATTCTTTTACCTACTGTCAAAATTGTGATGCTATAGAAGTTGGAAAATATTTTGAAACAAATCACAGAAAAAGTAGAATATCCTATTTTCACCCTTATCTCCCATTCCTCCAATCCTAAGAATTCCTAGAAGTGTGTCTTAAGAATTCCACAAATGGCCACTCAATATAATGCCCAGCCCAAGAGAGATTAAACAGTTAAGTGGGCTGCACTGACTTCTGGCCTGGGCAAGAATATACCAACAGTAGAGAAATGGCATGAGTTTTCACATTAACTCTCTACATACATACAACTATGTATTAGCTAAGGAGGCAAGTATGGTACTGCAGTTAAGTGTGGGGTCAGACCTAATGTTGCCCCTTATCAGTATGTGACCCCAAGCAAGTTACTTCACCTCCTTGAGCCACCATGTCCTCATTGACCGGCGCTAACACCTATCTACACTGTAGGACACCAAACGGATCCCCTGAAAGGGCCTATAACCCATCAGCACAGCAGCTAAGACCACAGAAAATAGCCCATAGTGGGTGGTCATCATTATCAGAAACATCAAACTCAGTTCCTCATTCTTGACCAAAACAGTTTAATTTACAACTTTAGTGTACAATATAAAGTCTATTAATTTCTTGAAATTCTCACTTGGCTCCTGCAAGGAAACAAAAGTGGGAAGCTTTAAATACCTTTATTTTCAATAATTCAAATGCATACTTCTTGTTCATTCAATCATTCAAGTATTCACTGAGCACCAGTCATGGAAGCAGTCTTGTGCAGGAGAAAAGAAACATCACCTTGCTTTCTCAAAAGTTTACAGTCTAGTCATTAAAACAAAATGTTAAGGACTGTGTGCAGAAATATTGGGAAATCTGTAAGATGACAGGGTTAGTGCTGGCAGATGCCAGTTACCATGGGAAGCCAGAGGCCTGGTAAGTACCGGACCCTCTGTCCACAGAAAAGCCAGAGAGAAAACGAACAGTCCAACAGCTTAACTGCCTGCTCTTTGGTGACATTTTTTCCCATCCCCTTCCTCCCTACACACCCCAAAACTGCTGTCATTTTCATGTCAATAAGCGACTTCTAATTAAATTTATAACGGCACAGTAATAGTATGATGTAATGGGAACACTTTGCTATCATTTAAAGTTTCCTAGCCTTTAAAACAATTTCCAGGGCATTCTGAATGACAGTAATTATTAATGTGTAATGATTTAAAAACACGTTAAATGAGAATGTCTTAACCCCCTAGGAGTTTGTGGAGAAAGGGACTCCCAGTACCTTCCTTCTGAAAGAAGGAAAACTCTGACTTTAATCTAGAAAATGAAAGGGCCAGAACCTTTTACTGTTTAAAGAGTTAATGTCCATGAATGTCGTATTTCCATATGCTGGAGCTCTCCACTTAAACACT